AAAAGATCAACAAACTAGACTGCTAGCCAGACTAATAAAGAAGAAACAAGAGAATAAACAAATAGACATAATAAAAAATGATAAGGGGGATATCACCACTGATCCCACAGAAATACAAAACACCATCAGATAATACTATAAACACCTCTACACAAATAAATTACAAAATCTAGAAGAAATAGATAAATTCCTGGACAGATACACTAAACCAGGAAGAAGTCAAATCCCTGAATACACCAATAACAAGTTCTGAAATTGAGGCAGTAATTAACAGTCTACCAACAGAAAAGGCCAGGACCAGACAGATTCATGGCTGAATTCTACCAAACGTACAAAGAGGAGCTTGTACCATTTAGAAGGAAAGTACATTTCAGAAGGAAAGTACCATTCCTTCTGAAACTATTCCAAACAATAGAGAGAAAAAAAAATTCCAAATAGGGAACCCTCCCTACTTCATTTTATAAGGCCAGCATCATCCTGTTACCCAAACCTCACAGAGACACAACAAAACAAAAAAAATTTCAGGCCAATATACCTGATGAACATCTATGCATAAATCCTCAATAAAATATTACCAAACCGAATTCAGCAGTACATCAAAAAGCTCATCCACCACAACAAAGTCAGCTTCATCCCTGGGATGCAAGACTGGTTCAACATATGCAAAGCAATAAACTTAATCCATCACAAACAGAAACAATGATAAAACCACATGATTATCTCAATAGATGCAGAAAAGGCATTCAACAAAATTCAACAGCGCTTCATGCTAAAAACTCTCAATAAAATAGGTATTGATGGAATGTATCTCAATATAATAAGAGTTATTTATGACAAACCCATAGCCAACATCATACTGACTGGGCAAAAAAAGTTGAAAGCATTACCTGTGAAAACCAGCAGAAGACAAGAATGCCCTCTCTCACAGCTCCTATTCAACATAGTATTGGAAGTTCTAGCCAGGGCAATCAGGAAAGAGAAAGAAATAAAGGTATTCATTTAGGAAAAGAAGAAGAAGTCAAATTGTCTCTGTTTGTAGAGGACATGATTGTATATTTAGAAAACCCCATCGTTTCATCCCCAAATCTCCTTAAGCTGATAAAGAACTTCAGCAAAGTCTCTGGATACAAAATCAATGTACAAAAATCACGAGCATTAATATACACTAATAACAGACAAACAGAGCCGAATCATGAGTGAACTCCCATTGATAATTGCCACAGAGAATAAAATACCTAAGAATACAACTTAAAAGGGATGTGAAGGACCTTTTCAAGGAGAATTACAAACCACTGCTCAAGGAAATAAGAGAGGACACAAACAAATGGAAAAACATTTCATGCTCATGGATAGAAAGAATCAATATTGTGAAAATGGCCATACTGCCCAAAGTAATTTATAGATTTAATGCTATCCCCATCAAGCTACCACTGATCTTCCTCACAGAATTGGGAAAAACTCCTTTAAGTTTCATATGGACCCAAATAAGAGCCCACATAGCCAAGACAATCCTAAACAAAAGATCAAACCTGGTGACATCACCTTACCTGACTTCAAACTATACTACAAGGCTGCTATAACCAATACAGCATGGTACTGGTACCAAAACAGATATATAGACCAATGGAACAGAACAGAGGTCTCAGAAATAACACTGCACATCTACAACCATCTGATCTTTGACAAATCTGATAAAAACAAGCAATGGGGAAAGGATTCCCTATTTAACAAATGGCATTGGGAAAACTGGCTAGCCATATGAAGAAAGTTGAAACTGGACCTATTCCTTACACCTTATACAAAAATTAACTCAAGAGGAATTAAAGACTTAAACATAATACCTAAAACCATAAAGACCCTAGAAGAAAACCTAGGCAATACCATTCAGGACTTAGACATGGGCAAAGTCTTCACGACTAAAACACCAAAAGCAATGGCAACAAAACCAAAATTGACAAATGACATCTAATTAAACTAAAGTGCTTCTGCACATTAAAAGAAACTATCATCAGAGTGAACTGGCAACCTACAGAATGAGAGAAAATTTTTTCAATCTATTCATCTGACAAAGGGCTAATATCCAGAATCTACAAAGAACTTAAACAAATTTACAAGAAAAAAACAACCCCATCAAAAAGTGGGCAAAGGATATAAGCAGACACTTCTCAAGAGAAGACATTTATGCAGCCAACAATCATATGAAAAAAGGCTCATCATCACTGGTTATTAGAGAAATGCAAATCAAAACTACATTGAGATACCATCTCACACCAGCTAGAATGGTGATCATTAAAAAGTCAGGAGGCAACAGATGCTGGAGAGGATGTGGAGAAGTAGAAATGCTTTTATACTGTTGGTGGGAGTGTAAGTTAGTTCAACCATTGTGGAAGACAATGTGGCAACTCCTCAAGGATCTAAAAGTAGAAATACCATTTGACCCAGCAATCCCATTCCTGGGTACATACCCAAAGGTTTATAAATCATTCTACTATAAGTACACATGCACATGTATGTTTCTGTGTGCAGCACTATTCACAATAGCAAAGACTCAGAACCAACCCAAATGCCCATGAATGATAGACTGGATAAAGAAAATGTGGCACATATACGATATGGAATACTATGCAGTCATAAAAAAGGATGAGTTCATGTCCTTTGCAAGGACATGGATGAAGCTGGAAACCATCATTCTCAACAAACTAACACAAGAACAGAAAATCAAATACCACATGTTCTCACTTTTAAGTGTGAGTTGAACAACGAGAACACATGGGCACAGGGCAGAGACCATCATACACCAGGGATTATCAGGGGTTTGTGGGTTAGGGGAGGGATAACATTAAGAGGAATGCCTAATGTAGATGATGGTTGATGGGTACAGCAAACCACCATGGCACATGTAGACCTATGCAACAAACCTGCACGTTCTGCACATGTACTCCAGAACCTAAAGTATAATTAAAAATAGCAAAAATTAATTGGATGTGGTGGTACACACCTGTAGTCCCAGCTACTTGGGAGACTCTGGTGGGAGGATCGCCTTAGCCCAGGAGGTCAAGGCTGTAGTTAACTGTGATTGTACCACTGCACTCCAGCACTTTAGCGTCAGAGCAAGATCCTGTCTAAAACAAAACAAAACAAAACAAAACAAAAAAACGGAATGATGATTGTCAGAGGCTGAGAGGAGAAGACGTAGGGAATTACTAATCTATGGGGATAAAGTTTTAGTCAAGCAAGATAAGTACCCTCTAGGGAACTGCTGTGCACATGGTACCGTACCGTCAATCATATCGTATCATACACTTAAAATTTTATTAAGCAGATATCATTTTAGATATTTTGACTAGCATAAAATAAAATTTAAAAAAAAGAAAGTACTTGCTTTTTGGCTTTTATTAGATCAGGCGGTTGGGAGTAGAGATTTGTGGAAGATAGGAAAAGAGAAACCAGGGGATGACCTGCTTTTTAAATTTTATTATTTATAGTTATTATTCTTCTTTCAGATCCCACTCCACCAGGATGGTTGACTTGCTTTTAACACAACCTCTTTGTCACAGGTACTCAGGGAAAATTTCTTCACAGAATGTCGTCTTTCCTTGCCAAATATCAACTTGATTAGTGTGAAGCAGACACAGAATTCAGTAAAATCTTAATATAAAAATCACTTAACTGGGCTTTAAGAACATTTTCTTTGAATTGACATTTAAATATATTTGTCTGACTCTTAAAATCATGCATCCATGAACTCCTAAGAAATATCCCATTTTGTCTGGGAAATACTCCCACAAAGATGCTGATGAGCCTAAAGATGAAAACAAGTTCTAGAGTATGTTACTTGTTGGAGAGGAAGCTTATATGCAACAGTGAGCATAGAAGAGGTAGGTGATGGTTCAGCACTAAATTTGAGGATGGTTTAATATATTTGCTCATAAGACACACGCCTTCACAAATCATTGGAGAATGTCTGGAAAGAATTGATTTTTTAAAAGGTCGGGTTGGCAGGGATTGTAGGTCAAAATATCAAATTCAATGAAAAAAGCAAAACTGAGTATTCATATTTCATTAAAATGAAAGATAATAAATATTATTTTATGAACAGGAAAGAAAAAGTATTGGAATGCAAGTAGAATTGTAAAAATTAATTTTCTTTGGGGACAATAATCAGGGCATATGTTCAAGTTTCATGTCATGTGTTTCAGTAATTTGTAGTTTATATATAATATTACTTTAGCAACTAGAAAAAAATATTTTCAAGTTTGAGGAGGACCCAGAGAATAAACATTACCATCATTCTTCCCTAGCCTTGTCCAGGAAGGAGTCCAACCAAACAAGCCCTGATGACGCTACCTGAACCCTGTCATAGCCGGCTTCTTTCCCATGCAGGACATGAAGTTCCCAGGCTGATTCATTAACTCTCAGACTGGGACTCTGGAAGTGGCTGTGTGAACTCCTTAACTGTGAAGTACATGAGGAAAACTTTATATGGGAACAAAAGTGTAATAAAGCAAATCATAAGAATGTCAGTAGCAAGTATCTGATGTGCCATCAAAAGAAGTGCTTTGTAGAATGAGCACAAGTCTAACAAATTCAAAGGTAGATTTGTGCCAGTAATTTCTTGGAAAACAGTCAAAGGATCTTTCCCAAAGGCAGTAAATGAGTATCTTGTCTTCCCACATTGGCATTATGTAAAACCCTGAATTGGACACAGAAATGCACCCCATATTAACTTCATGAAATTGGGCAAGTTACTTAACTTCTCTGACCCTCAGCTTCTTCATCAGTAAAATGTGAAAAATAACAGTGCCTACTTCATAAGGTTATTACATGGACTAAAGACATGCCTCAGCTCAGGCTATAACTCTCATCTCAGGATGTGGCACCTAATGAAGGCCCAGTAAACATCTGCTGTTAAAAAATGATAACAGAAATCAAACATGCAAGGGCAAAACAGGAACAGAAACAAAGACAACCACAGACAACTCTTTATGTGCTAAAACACAAAAGCATTAAATAAAGGTTTATTAACATCATATCGAAGACACATTATATCATATGTAAGCATTACATCAAACTCTGTATAATAAGACACAAACAAATACCAAGCAAAATTGCTATGGTAGTATAAGTTACCATGAAAACAGGAAAGTTCTACACGATTAAGAGCAGCTTAGCAATACTTTGTCAATTATTCATCTTCTGTCCCTAGTGCTTGATATTTATCCATGTCAGAGAAAACTTGTTTATATATAGAAAACATATTTATGCAGGCCAAGCTTTAATACACTTTAACTTTCCCCAGTTTTAGTAAGTTACTCATCATGTATGCTATTGTGGTGAAATTCACTAAGTAGCACTAGAGTTCACAATCATACAGGTGGATGTGGAAAAATGCATTCACTGGGTACCAGATGTATCTGAGTTTTAATTTCAACTCCATCTTGTATTAACTTTGTGACCTTGAGCACATTATATAATTTATTTGTTCTTTGGGTTCCCCCTGTGCTTAATGAGAATACAAAATGTCTTCATCTCAGGGTTGTTATGAGGATTAAATAATGCCATTTCAAACGCTTGGCACTCAGTATGTGCTTAAAAGTTGTTAGTTTCTCTGCTTCTCCAAAAAGGAATCTAGGAGATCATCACCCTTCTCATTTTACCAATGAGAAAGCTCAGGTCCACAGAAGTTTTAAAAAATGCCCAAAGTCCCACTTCTGCACTCTTTCCTCTGCTGTCCTCTTATTAGCTTGCTTAACTTCAATAGAGAAGAGAAAACTCAGTGGAATAAAAAAAAATTATTTTCCTCTTTTTAATATAGGTAAGCCACCAAGAGACTTTTAAAGTAGGAGTGAGTTTTATGAAAGGTAATAAGTAGTCTAAGAACTGTTTTAAATCCTCAGAGCTATCAAAACCAGAAGTTCTGTTCTTCCAAGATTTCCATAGCAGAACATAAGTATTCTGTATGCTTTGGCACCAAAAAACTCCAGAACTGAGTATTTATCTGCACATTTTTACTCAGGCCTCTCAGAATGCTTGCCCATGGAACTGGCAAAGGAACTGGCATTCAGTATTTAGAGCAGCGAAGTTTGCTCAGCCCACAGCTGTATTTGAAGCACAGCTCTCTACCATTAGTCAATGGAACATGTACAAAATGCAATTTAGATGTAAATTTTGTGATTCTTACCCTGCTTTCATATCTCTGTCATCTTTTCCATACCTGAAGATCACCCCAGGACAACCCAACAGAACCCGTGATCCCGTGCAGAAGAGAAGGCAAAATTCTGCAACCTGTAATTTACAGCTTGACCGCTTTATTTGAAGGAGAATGACAAGTTTTATTTAGCAGGAAGGAGATATTCAATACTACTCTTTTAAAATAGTCAACCAAGAAAGAGTCTGCTATTTCTTTAAAAATGTTTTTAAAGTTATATTTTACCATAAGAGAACTGGTTGAATTTTATTTGGTTATTTAAAACATATACATATGGTTGTTTGTCTCTCTCACTTGAAGTTCTTACCACATCCAGAAGAGCTGGAAACATCCAATGTTGCTAAAGCTACTGTAGCTACTGTGATACATGGAAACTCAACCATTGGAAATGGGGCATATTTATGACTAGATCAGTTGCTCTTATCAAATTGCTCATACAGCAATCTATGTCTATAGTTATAACTCTGACATTGGTTAAGCCACAATCTTGTTACTTCAGTTGTATGGACCCGCAGAGCACAAACCAGGTCAGACAAATGTAGATGCTTATGAGACATTTCCCAGTGGTTCTTGAGGGTGGCATGCTATTTCCAAAAACTTTTGGTCTGGCAATGTGGAAATTATCAGGCCTACATGATGAAAGAAACTAATATATTAATCCTATTTAAATAGGTCTGAGTTCATTTTATAGGAAGGGATGAGAATAAACAATCAGACTTCTATGCCAGTGATGTATTAATATACTTGGTTCTGTTTATTATAAATATTTTCTCTCAGAAACACACTACTGTCAGAATTATAACAATTAAATGTGGGCATTTTGGGGTTTTTTTCAGTCTATCTTAAAACAACTATTGGTGTTATTCTGTTAGATCCTATTTACACAAATTGAAAAGATTATACCAAAAGGTAATTATAGAGAAGAAACGGATATTTGTTTATTTCCAAGTCAAGGCATTTGATTGGGTATTAGTCTTGGCAGATATTTATAAGAAAAGAGAAAGACAAACTACATTTTGAAGTTTCCCCTAAAAACTGACCAGTTTCAGACATAAATACTACTAGACTCAAAAACAAAGTAACACATCCATCACACCCCCTCATTGTAAGACAGTTATTTTTTTCAAGACTATTTTGTCTGGATCTCATCACCCATAACCAGTACTGATCTGCTCTGACCTCTCTGTTTTACACCTCTGTTTCAATTCAAAACATTATTCCCAATTCTGAAGAGGCTTGGGGCCTGGCTATATCCCGGGAGGTTACTTGATTGTGTTCCTGGCTCAATGTCTAGACGACATTTCTAACAAATTTCAGGGAAATCTTACACTGTCTTGCAAGCTCTCCTCTGTAGCATAAAGGGATGATGAATTACATTCTGGCACATCATCCTTAGCTCAGTTTTTTAATGGATCTTTTACTAGGAATCAATGTCTTTCCCTGCACTGTCTTCCTCCCCACAATACTGTGGGATAATCAATCCCACCCTCTCTTTGTTGGGATCTAAATAACGACAGTGTAAGATGTAACCGTGCCTAAGACCTTGAACTATTCAATCTTGAGCTAATGGTTTTTCCATAACAAAGATCTACAGCTTTTTATTTCTTTTACACTTAGAGTGAATATTTACAAATATCTTTGAAAGAGTTCTAAGAGTCAATCTGGAAAGGCATTCTAAAAGACTTTATTTCTGAACTTTGATGACTATTTCTCAACGGTCAGGAATGGGGAATGTAAAGAAAAATGAAGGAAATCTTGCCCAGATGCATGATCAACCACTCCTGGGAAATGAAAATGTCCACAAAATGTCCAGAATTGCAGAGATGCAATTCTGGCAGAGAGGATGGTGATCCAGGTCCAGTGCTCCAGTGTAAGGTTGCATGAAAGGCAGAATGCAAACATTAATAAAATCAAGTTACACTGAATCTCTTATCTTGACTTCTTAGACATCTCAGAGAAAGAAGTGAGATAAAACTAAACTTCTCTCCACACCCCACTTCTCTCCGTTTTCCTTTCTCCTACTTCCCACTTTCAAAACAACAAAGGCCCAAATCCCCAAAGACCCTGTATTTTTCAGGCTAAAACTCTCCGGTGAAACAATGGTAAGTGTGTCCTGATGCTTTCCAGGTCATTTAGACGACTACATATAAAGGCCAGTTAAAGTCTGGCAGTGGTCACTCTACTTGGTCACAGGGAGAGGGCCAGAAGGCAGGTTCCCAATCGAATGAATCTCTGTCACACCATATCAGAGTTGGGGGAGGAAGTGGCTGGAGATGCTCCAGATGACCTTGTCCTCCAAATTAGACACTTGTTTTTCTTTTGTTTTGAAGTGAGCCAGTGAATAAAGACAAAAGAAGTACACTCTGGGTGAGTTGTCCCATACTTTCTACAGTGAAGAAGTGTTTAAGATGAAGTCCTGAGTGGACATTAAAGTGGGTGTAAAGGAATCTGGATTCTAGTCTTAATTGGGCCTCAATTTCCTCATCTGTAAAATGAGATGGTAGAACTGATAATCTCTAGAAGCAATTGGTGAAATATTGGAAGGAATACTGGACTGGTTTCAGCAACAATGAATCCCTTGAATTATATACAAAAGTGTGTGTGTGTGTGTGTGTGTGTGTGTGTGTGTGTGTGTGTATGGTTTTATTGAGTCAAACCATTAAGAATCATTAAGCCTTTTTCAAACTCTAAAGTTCATCTTTGTCATCTTTTAAGTCTCTTCATCTTACACAAATTGTAATTTTCTCAAATGTGTTCTGAGTAATGAAAATAAGTGCTTTTCAGCACTAACCCTTTAATGCATGTTTAAACATTTAATCTAGAAATTGATTATAAGGTAATTTAATGAAGAAAATAATCTGTCATAATTCTTATAGATTCTGGTTAGTTTTAGATTTAAAAAAAACAGGGCTTATAATTAAAGCAACTGACTAATGATCTCACAGCCTCAAGTTTATATGTGCAATGCAAACCTAGATTAGAAATACTTTGTGTCTCTAAAAATAACAAAATGACCACAAAATTTTTTTTTCTTACAAGTTTGAAATGGTCAATTATGGGTAACACATACATTCCTAAGGAAATCTGAAATGGTCTTGAAGAATAAGTTTCTTTGAAATAGTAAGTAACACAAAAAGTGTACTACTTTTTTTGGAAAATGATTCACAAAAAAAACCCTTTAAACCAAGAATTGGTGATTTATATTCTGGTCAGGATTTTGGAGTCTGGGCAATGCCATTACTTAGCTGTTTTGACTATGAGAACTTTTACAAATTTATTCTGACTTCTATGATCTTTAATCTCTTTTCAACACCTGAAAAATAACAAAGATTGTAAACTAAATGTCCTTAAAGATTCTTCCCTCCCCAGCGATGTATGACAATACTTGGGACTCTAAATGCCCTGCTGTCTGCAGAGCTATCCTGGAGCTGAATGAACACAAGGTGGTGCTTTCATATTAGCTACTTTCTAGTTCTTTTGTTAATTAAGAACAAGTTTTTGTTTTTGTCCCCAGTTTAGCCAAATGCTCCTAAAATAGAAATGCAATAGTAAATAAGAGAGCTTCATTTTTAATAGGCTTCCCCTTTCTTTAGGAAAATGGTAGAAATTTCACATGTGTATTCCATTTTTCTAATAATTTCAAAAAGGCAAATTTTGCTGGGACCATGAAATAATTTTGGATTTATCCAGACTATGTAGAAACCACCATCACAGCTGACTAAAAAGCAAAACCTTGGTTAAATTGACTTGGCCTGGTTCCCAGGTTTCCCAGGCATTAAGCAATATCTGAAAGTTAAGTCTGTCACCTTCAGAAGCTGCAATAACTCTTTCATTCACTACAGTCCCACTTAGCACATTGTTCTGTAATAATATATATGTGCCTACTATGAGAAAGTTGATATTTATTCAAAGGCAACACAATCGTAACTTAGGATACGACATCTCTGGGATGTTGTCAATTTTAAAGTCTCCCCTTCCAAGTTGGTTGGGTATATAACCATGGGGTACTCCTTTTTATCATTTAAAAAATTCTTTCAGGTGTCATTACTGTTGTGTACAGATATGGTCACTTGTTTAGATACCTTAACACTGAGGATTGGATGATAACATTTTTAAGGAACTATTTTCTCCTAAGGTAAGCAGAGAATATTTTATAAGGACCACCACTCACACTACCTTAACCATAGCCATCTATACTCCAGAGCAATGTTGCTGTTGAATGCCTACCATATGGAGGCAGTGTCAGCATGCAGGGGCAGTGTAGGGGTAAAGAGATTATACCCATCCACACTTAGAGTCACAGCACTTTGGAATCATAGAATTCTACCAAAAACAACCTCTTAGGATAGAAGGTATCTGACAATGTCATCTCATCTAAATCTATCATGTAATGTTACAGATGGGAAAGAGAGATGATGGGAGGTAAGATTTCTTAACGTCATATGCTTTAGGTGATTGTAAATTCCAGACTTTTCTGACTCCTGGACCAATGTTCTCGTAATACCTCATGATTTATGTATAGAACCTATGGAGAATGAAGCTACTTAAAAGTGCCCTTTGTTCATGGTCTCTTATAAAAGATTTCTGTTATTATTTGCCTAAACTGCTTCTAACACCCGAAATTACTTTAAAAAAAACCCATGAAAAATCAAAGTTAAAAGTAGTAGACCATTAATGCTATGAAACAGCAACTTTCCTAGTTTTCTTCTTACTAATCAAAGTCCTGATTGGTGTTTGTTGTGTCAGCTAGAGATTAAAATAATTATTTAACTATTTTGGTAGTATTGAAACATACTTGAAATATCCCAATTTTGTACTTAAAATCAATGCTTATAATGTGATGTATTTTATGTTATTAACAACAATTTGTTGAATAGTTATCAAGTTAGTGTTTGGCTTCTCCTATTCTTTTAAAACAAGTCTATTGTAGCTCTCTCAAATCTCATAACAGCTGGCTCCTATTCAATGTCAAAAATACAAATTTTAATAACTATTTCTAATGCCATAGTAACTTTAGAGAGAGGAGGCATCCCTTTTTAACTACTGAAAAGGGGCTTATTTTGGTGCCAAACTACAGAAGATGCAGTTTTGAGGACAGATTAAATTGAATACACCAAAGTAGCTGCTTGGGAAAAAGAACAGCATATAATCTAGTATCTTTAATTTTATGTACATGAATATAATGTATGTCAACTTTGTACATGAGATACATACAGTATTTAAACATTTTACTCAACAAATAAGAATTTACAATAGCAATATAACTGACTAGAGGGCTGTCCACTTAATAATACTTAGATTAGATCTGTACTTTAACAGGAAAAGAACTTAATAGTTTACAATCATAGAAACACTGACATTTAAAACAAGAATTTATAAAATAATTTATATATATATATATATCCTAGCATCTATAGAGAGGAATGATTTGCATTTGTGGGTGTGTGCAATGAATGGTATATTTTAAATTTTTAGGTAATAAAATAATTTAGAAGCAGTTCATGCAGGGGTCAAAGCAAGGAATGGCAAGTTCCTTCAAGAAGTCCTCTATCTTTGACACCAACCGGCATCAGACACACACTAGGTACCACGGGGCACTCTAGAACAAGTCTCCTTCAAGAGTTACTTATTAAACATCAATAAACACATGTTGATATCCTTCCTTCCGTAGTACAAGTACAGGTCACAACTTCTCTCAGCTGTGGGAGTAGTCAGTTTATACTTAAAGTGATTTAATGTCCCTCCTGAAGTTCTACGTAATATATCTCTATCATAAGGTAACTAACAGAACTTCCTAGTTTTCACAACCTTACTCTGATACTTTACAGAGTGCCCCCCATGTCCTATGACATAAACATCCAGCAGGTAAGATTTGCCAGGCTGAAGACCTTTAATTGTTTCTGTGGTCACTGCTTTCTGCAGGTTTTGACTGTGGAAATATTTACAGAGGACCTTTTCTGACTTCTTCCTTATATCTGGTCCTAGGCATTGGTTTTGCTCTCTTTTCTTCTGGTCTTCATTGTAGTTATCATCCACTTCTTTTTTGTAGATGCAAAACTTGTTCCTTTCCTGAGTGCCTAGCCAAGCCACGGTGGCCGAGGAACAGGTACGGAGCTTGTCAAAAGCTTTGATTCTTGTGTCTTCAGGAAGAGAGGGAAATGACTGCTTAGTAGGCCTTGTGGTAGCTAGTATTTTCAACATAGATGCTCCCTTCTTGTTTCCTTTCAGCCGAATGAGGTATTTCGCTTTAGGTTTTCCTCTAAGCTGAAACTGCCGAATGCCTTCCACATTCTGAGACAGAAGAAGTTTCCCATCTCTTCTCACTTGGATTTGGACAGCATCCAGACAAGAGTGAATAAAGAAGGTGACTTTTTGGTGAGAAGAGACTGGAGCAAACCGTAGAATCTTTGCTCCCTTCCTTTTAACAAATACATCTGTAACCTTCCCGTCTTTTAGCTCGACTGTCTTCTGTTTGGCTTCTTCCTTGGTCCTGGCAAAGGTGCCTACATAAGCGGTGCTCATGTTGCTGTTGATGTTGACTACAAATACATCAAAGTAGTACTGCGTGTCAGGTTTCAGATCAGAGACAGTAAAGATGTTCTTGTTTCCTATGCAGATTTTTTGAATGTCAACCTTGGGCCTGGAGTAGACATGACGCCCCAGTTTTGGAGAAGGCTTTGCTTGGAAGCCGCGTTCTTTACCTGAATTATCTGAAGGAAATCCAAAATGGGCAAAGTCAAAGGGACTGAAGTCTAGACCAGGTTTCGGTGCCATCATAAAAGTATCATCTGCACTCAGTTTTGCTTCCACTGCACAGAGACTTTTGAAATTGTGCTCTTTGTTGATGACCACACAGTACTGAATGGGTTGTTTCAGCAAAGAGGCAGTGGGGCTCGGTTTCCAGGCCAAAGTGACTGTGGTGCGCCCCAGGGAGGTCACATCTACTCTTGGGTCATAGGGTAACTCAGGGTATGGCTGATCAGATTCTGGAGTTGTTGTGGCATATATTTTGAAATGTGTGTCTTTCTCTGTTGAAAGAAGATCCAACTGATATAAACCAGATGGGGAACTAGAAGATATAAAATACTCAACATCATTGCCTTTGTAGGAGAATAACTCAGTGCCTTCCTCATTAATGATCTGCTGCTTCTGCTGCTCAAGAGGTTCCAGATCACCTAGAAGATACACAAGAAGAACAGGCTACTGTCAGGGCATACACTGTGGCTTGCTAACCTTAACTTATGCTTTTATCTCATTTTTTCTCATTATGAAAATAATATATGTTCATACGTAAAAGTATTCATAAATGTATTAGAAGTAATATTTATTTTGACCATTATACATAATGCTTTCATATATGTGTAAGGCATTTCTGAATTTAAATTATTTCTTCAGAACAGAAGGCAATTAGTAAAAATTTTAGGTCAGAGGCTGTAAGCTTTTGAGAAATTATTAATCCTATCAATCTGCTTATGAAAAGAATTTTATCAGTTTGCATTTGGATGGCTAGCCATTTTGCTAATTTCACTATTGTTAGAAGGACTAGACATTCTGATTAAAATACAAATATAGAACCATCCCAGCAACCCAATCACAGCTGGTCTTCCCTGGACGCCATGAACCACACTGTCCAAACCTTCTTCACTCCTGCCAACACCAACTGTCCCACCGTCCCTCCAACTATGAGATGCTGAAGGGGGAGCATGAGGCGGATGTGCTGTGGGTGCCCCATAACACTGCTCCCCCAACATCCACTGTGATCCACATCTATACCGAGACTTCCATGCCCGACCATGTTGTCTGGTCCCTGTTCAACATCCTTTTCATGAACTCCTGCTGCCTGGGCTTCATAGTGTTCCCCTACTCCTTGAAGTCTAGGGACAGGAAGATGGTTGGCGACCTGACCGGGGCCCAGGCCTATGCCTCTACCGCCAAGTGCCTGAACATCTGGGCCCTGATTTGGGCATCATCATGACCATTCTGCTGATCATCATCCCAGTATTGATCTTGCAAGTCTATCAATAGATCAAGAGGAATCATCCGGGCCAGGGGCTCTGCCCGTGACTGGTTTCCCATGTACTCCACCTTCCATTCCTCGCCCTGCCCCGAGCTGAATCCTGTATCAGCCCTTTATCTTCACACACTTTTCTATAATGGCATTCAATAAAGTGCACGTGTTCCTGGTAAATAAATAAATAATACGAAATAAAATACAGAATATAAAGTACCAGTAAGACTGTTTGGCCAGGTGTCATGGCTTATGCCTGTTATCCCAGCATTTTGGGATGCTGCAGCTAGAAGATCACTTGAAGCCAAGCCTGGACAACAAAGAGGGACCCTGTCTCTACAAAAAATAAAGATTAAAAAAATTAGCTGGGCACAGTGGCAAGTGCCTATAGTTCCAGCTACTTGGGAGGCTGAGGCAGGAGGATTGGTTAAGCCCAGGAATTCAAGGCTGCAGTGAGCTATGATTGCACCACTACGCTCCAGCCTGGGCAACAGAGCAAGACCCTGTCTCAATAAATAAATAAATAAATAAATAAATAAATAAATAAATAAATAAAGGATCGTTTAAGGTGCATTGTATAGAACATGCATGCAGGAATAACACGGGAATAGTATTACAGCTAAACTAATTTTTTACATCGTTTGTTACTATAAGCATCAGATATCACACAGGTATCAGTGTATAGATAAGTTTCCAGGGCTTGGTGAATGATTGGATAGCTACAGTAAGAAGAAACCTTTTCCAGCTTATCACTGCAGGTTGAAAGTGAGCTACACAGAATTTCATATTCCTAAAACATGGGATAAACACAATCATCAAACAGGTATATTAGCATCAAGATTTGGCCAGGTGCGGTGGCTCACGCCTGTAATCCCAGCAGTTTGGGAGGCCGAAGTGGGCAAATTGCTTGAGCTCAGGCATTCGAGACCAGCCTAGGCAGCATAGTGAAACCCCGTCTCTACAAAAATACAAAAAGTTAGCTGGGTCTAGTGGCATACACCTGCGATCCCAGCTACTTTGGAGGCTGAGGCAGGGGAACTGCTTGAGCCTGGAAGGTGGAGGTTGTAGTGAGCCAAGATTACACCATTGCACTCCAGCCTAGGTGACAGAGCAAAAGCCCATCAAGATTCATTTTCTGTATCTTAGTCTCATTACTCCCCATACATACTTCCATAATTTTCCTAATTGCTTTCCAATTTTCCTAATTGTTCCTCTTTGGAACTACTATGGCTCCCTGTTAGCCTCTTTTGTAGGGCACCCGTTGTCAAGCCTTCATCTTTAACCTATGATGCCCTTAAAGAGCCTTACTCCAGGGCTCCACACAGACTCTTCTCGTTTCCCTTTTATCTTATTATTTGCTCCCCATCATCTGTGTCTTCTTTAAATGCTTAGCCCACTCATCCTACTAACTTTGTTTTCATCTTGGCCTTTAACTGCTGCTGAATGCCTCTCTGTTTCCACCTCTTATTCCCTGGAGATCAGAGGTTCTTAACCTTGGCTGTAATCAGAATTACCTGGAGGGTGCGGGCTAAAAATCCCAATGTTCAGACCTCACCCCATGGCAATTAAATCAGACCTTTGCAAGATCTAGGCATCAGCGGTTTTTAAAGCCTTACATGAGATTAAGGTGCTTAGGCAAGATTGCAAACCACAGCTGAAGAGGTTAGTCCAAACCTCTCCCCTTCTCCTCAATCTGTCAGTCCCCCTACCTGTCTCTCCTAGCCTTTTATTTTACCAGGGTCAATGTCATCTGATGCCACCCTCCCACTTTCCTTGTCTCCATCTCATACCTCCAGCTTCACCTGTGCATGCTACTTTTTCTTACTAACACACAGAAGGTTGTATGTTTCACAAGCCTTAAAACCAACCACTCAAAGGTCCAGGGTCAGACCTATCCTGCTGCTTACCTGACCCTTCCCCACTCGTGTCCTCTGGCAGCTCCTGGAGGCTCAGCTTCCACTCCAGAGGTGCATCACAGGGTGTCACTGTGACTGATAATGGAGTATTGTCTTCTTCAACCACAAAGAAATACCTGTGGGAAAGTGGGCCAGGTTAAACTGTGGTAATTTTTTCTAACATATACAATCAAAACTTACTGCAGAAATCATTTGTGGTTTTTTCATTGTATAAATTTTATAAAATTTTCATCAAACGTCACTGTATTTTCACTTAACAGAGAATAAAATTGGCTATTTGACACAAAAGATGATACAGCATTGACTGTGGAAGTCCAACAGCCCCAAGAATCTGCAACCAGATTTATCATCAGATACAGTGTGAAATAAAATACATTGAACCCAAAGTGTTTTGAGTTAAAAATCAACACTTACCTGTTGTCTGTTATTATTTAACACGGGCCCTGCCATTGCAAAATAAATCACAACCAAGAAAATTTCCAGGTTTGTAGCCTGTTAGGTGCTATGCCTTCCATACGTTTGGTGACAAATTTGTACATTACCTTGTGGGCACTCTGACATAATTGCAACTATTTCAATAGACCATTTTCACAGCATCCTAGTTCTAAAGTGTTTGTCTCTGGCAAAAAAAAGAAAACATGCTGTATTCACATTTTTATATTGGTGACTTTTATTCACAGCTTTACTATTTCTTATCTTTTTGTTTGTTTGTTTTGAGACAGTCTTGCACTGTCTCCCAGGCTGGAGTGCAGCAGCGTGATCATAGCTCCCTGCAGCCTCAAACTCCTGGGCTCAAACGATCCTCCCAACTCAGCTTCCTGAGTAGCTGGGACTACAGGCGTACACCACCATATCTGGCTAATCTTTAAATTTTTTGGTACAGATGGGGGTCTCACTCTGGTGCCCTGACTGGTCTCAAACTCTTGGCCTCCAGTGATCCTCCTGCCTCAGCCTCCCAAAGCACCGGGATTACATGTGTGAGCCACCATGTCTGGCCCATTTCATATCTTTTTGAGTGGTGTTATCTAATCACCAGATTGTGAAATATTTTAAAAAACTAAAGATCACTGAGTCAGTCAGTAGAAAGATACATTTCTTGATCACAAGATTTTCTGTTGAATTAAATAAGTTAATGATTTTAAAACAAAAATTTAAAAATCAAATGTTCTACTCTATGCCTTCACCTGAGCCTTTATTGTAATGCTTTAAAAAGAATAAAAATATTGCTTAACTATAGAAATACCATACATTGTTACTCCAAATGACTTACACAGTTTCACTTACTTATCTTTCAAAACCTATAATCTTGCCAATCAGGAGACCGTGGTTTCAGTTCTGCAAGCCCAGAGTTGCTCATTGATTCCATGCAGGGAAAAGCAGGCCTTGCCTCCTGTGGATTGAACCTCCTGGGTATCTCTCGTCTTCCTATTCTCTCCATAACCATGACCAACACTGACCACCAGAGTCTCCAACCCCAGAGGTCTCTACTGGTTCCTTCTCACCTCCCCAAACTCTAATGTCAGGAGTGAACCACAAGACTATGCTTGGACGTCTCTTTTCCACCTATGCTCATTCCCTGTGTGACCTCAACCAGGCTCATACAATTAAGGAATTGTTTCCCACAGCTAAAATCTAAAGCTCTTATAGGACTCTGAGCTGGAAGACACATAGTATATTTGCTTTTTTAGGAGATTCCTCTTGCTGCAGTTTTAAGGAATGATTTGGAGGTAGTGAAAGTGAATATATAGGAAACTACTCATTAGTTCATCCAACAAACATTCCTTGAGATTTATTTTAGCCTTTTAAACTAAAGGAAATTCATCCTTGAAGAAGTGACTTTCAATGTGAGTAGGGACAAAGGAGTTCATTTCAGGCAGAGAAAACCACATCCCATAAATGATAGGGTAGGTAGGGTTTGGGAACTAAGGATGCCCTTTGGGGTTTGAGCACAGAGACTTAAATGGGTAGTCACAGGACAAAAGACAGGTGAGGTGGGCAGAGGCCCTGTCACTGCAGAGGTTTGTGACACAGACCCACATTTAAAGTCATTTCTTCAGGGGTGCATTTTCCACCTCACTCTGGATCAGATCCTCTTATGTATTCTCAGAATGTCCTTTACTTTTTACTTTTGGGCACGTATTATAACTTGTGACTACATAATTGTATTATTATTTGATTATTATCATTTTCCTCAAAAGGGCCTTGTTAGGGTTCATTTATCACCTTTGTATTCCCATCACTTAGCACAGATTTCTGCATGTAGGTGCTTGATCAACATTTTAAAATCATTGAATTACTAAATGAGTAAATAAAACCTAAGAATCCTAACACCAAACTTCTTGCTCTGGCCTGGTTCATATACCTAGAATCTGCTTCTATCTGAAGATACAGGATCTGAATGGAAATATAAGTACCTCCCCCCAACCACCGCCATTCAAAGATGCATTTGGAGATGGAGAATGTGAAGGGGGCAGTGGGTGGACAAATAAAGCGAAGACCCTATAAATGCAAAAGCAACTTATTTATAAACAGTAAAGTTAAACAATCATCTAGACGAAATAGGTGATTGAATTGTTTACTGTATGGAAAGTTTAATGTACCATAAGCATTCCTGAGGAGAGTGTCGGAAGGCTTAATTTTCATTGCAGTCTACTTTTTGTGAGTAGAATTTTGTCCCTTTGGCCAGGTCGCATGGGAGTTATTAACCATATAAACACAATTGAGCCTATCTATATTACAAAGACATAGGTACAACAATGTAACTAGTTTGACATCATGAAAGTAAAAGAGTTTTGAAAACCTCTTGTTTGATGTTGAGTTTTATCTGAACAGCAGAGCTAACCAATGCCACAGAAGGAAACAATGTCCACATTGGTCTATTATCTTCTGTTCTCATTTCATACAAGGAAGTAGTTTATTTCCCAAACTGTGTCTCAGTAACTTAAATATCGGTCACAGGTGACCAATTACAAATAAAACAATACTTGCATTCCACAAGGTAACCATTATGCATATAAAGCAGCAGGGAGTCCCTCTAAGTCAACATTTTCATATGGAAGCACTTACGATTAGGGATACATGATAGTTTGAATATATTTAACAATTTGACAGACATTTATTGTCTACCATCCACAAAGCAGCTGTAGAAGAGAGTGACAATCAGAGATAACAGGACATAATCTACGTATTCAAGAGATTTACTGGCTAGTGAGGGATACAGAAACGTAATTAATAACTAAGGAAACATGGCACAGAATTATAGTGCCAAAGCTGAGGGATAAACGCACCATGAGTCATTTAGCCTTTGGAATTTATGTATAAAAATAAGAATAATTAATGTGTTTGTTGTCTTTTTAAATTTACTGCTATGCAACTTTATCTGGAATTTCTTTTTTTAGTTGGAATATCAACAACATCTATGTGTGTTTATCACTGCACGTTTCACCCCTAGAAATGAAGTTTCTACTTGTGGCTATAATTCATTACTAGTGTAAGTCTGCTTTTACTAGTTCATGTTAACATTTTTTCCAGTTGTGGCTACCAAGGGCCTCAATGATTATTGCTGGAAAAAAGATAAAAATAAAGAATGAATAAATGAAAGAAATAAAAATGAGAAAATGCTGTTTTATAATGTCTCATAATAAAAACATGGAATTTTTCTTAAAAAGTGTAATTTCTAAAACAACTCTTAGAGGCAAAACTTATTTAAGTTTTAAGAAACTGGAAGACTAAAGAAGATAAATTATTTGCTTAAGTGATGATTATATAATGAGGAATGCTGTGTTTAAACTATGCTGCAAAGAAGGCAGTGCACAAGTGCATTTGGGAAATGAAGGTAATTTCTACAGAAAAATTTTGATTTGATTTCACTCACACGTAAATTTCAAAGGGCAAAATAATATGAAAAGCCAAATGTGTTCACCAAGAGCTCAGTTAACATTTAAGATTAAGTTAAAGTAGTACGACTGCTTTATATGCCTTTTACTATTTTTACAGACTCAATTTTAGTCAGGACCAAGACAGCAAGCAAGTTCCTTCAATGTAATCATCCTTTCCTCTTCTGCCTTTACTCTCAGGAATGTCATTTAAAGATTCATAATTATTTTATATGTTACTGACAAGTCAGTTACTAGTCTAGTGTGTTCATGCAAACAAATAATTTCACTCAAGCAGTGCTGAAATAATATCCAAACAATAGTTCACTCCAGTCAATGTAGGAAAACTGATCACCTGCCATCATTTTGACTAAGCAGATGGAGATGCAACTGGGCCATTAAGTGGAAGGGGTTCAGATCACCAACTTTCATGATTACTGTTAATCAGAACTGAAAAGATGACTAAGTATCTGATACACCTCAATCTCTAGAAAATGAATTACTGATGTTCTCAGACAGTTTAATCCTTTGGAATGTCAATGTATCCCAGGTTAGAAGGAGCAACTGGTTTTGAAATGTAATTATCCGAAGATTAACTGTGTGTTCTAAACTTGTAAAGGGAGAAAAGAGTTTGATCACTACAAAGTAGATAAGGTTAAATACAAGTAATTTATAACATATTATATATATATATATATATAAATTTTAAAGGTCAAAATATTTAGAAACTTTATGTGAGCCCAATTTGTTGATGTTGGAGTAAAGGTAAATAAACAATGTCAGTTGCTATGACTTTTTAGTTTGATTCTCTTAGTATCTGATGATATTTGGTAAAGAAATATTATACTCCTAAAACAATGTGTTGAGTGTGGTGTCTCACACCTGTAATTCCAACACTTTGGGATGCTGAGGCAGGAGGATCACTTGAGCAAAGGAGTTAGAGATCAGCCTGGGCAACATAGTGAAACCCCCATCTCTACTAAAAATTTTAAAAATTTGCTGGGCGAGGTGGCACACCAGACCTGTAGTACTAGCTACTTGTGAGGCTGAGGTGGGAGGATTGTGTCCTCCTGGGATGTTGAGGCTACAGTTAGCCATGATTGTGCTACTGTACTCCAACCTGGGCTACAGAGTGAGACCTTGTCTCAAAAACAAAAATGAAGCTTAATGCAAACTCTTGAAGAATCATACATATTCATGAAAATTGATTTCATTTTAATCCTACAGAATCCTTCTTAGTTCTATTGTAATGAAAATAAGAAAATAATCATTCTAAAGTTTAAGAAATGTAAGCATTGCCTCCTCTACCCAAAAGGAGATGACAATCAGCAGGCATCAAACAGTTTCTATGTCATAATTAGAAGTTGCATGTCCATCTTCACCCAGAAAATCAGTAATACCATTCATAGGTTGATTTGTAAATTATCTGAACTAAGTCTAAAAGATTATTTTCTTTTTTGGAGGCATCACTTGTGAGCATTTTAATAAAGAAAATACTGCAGGGAGAATACCTTTTAGGTGTATCTCTAAAGAGATAACTGCTGATTTCAGCTCCATCTGGAATTACTGATGAATCATGAAAAAATGCCTTGTCCCGGATCTGCATCTGAAATAGTTCCTCATCCCTGGTGGGTAACTTCTGGGTCCTTGAGCTGAGTGGAAACAGGAGCCACAGCAGACACCAGTGGAGCAGCACCATCCTGAGGCAACAGAAATGACTGCTTGTATTAGTTCTGCAGGCAGACACTCAGGCAAGTCACAGACTTTCTAAAGGGTCAACACTATTTTAGTTTTGATGGAAACTTAGGGAGGCATCACATATTTTGGATACATGCACATGATCTTGAAGGGAACTTTCCTACATTTTTTCTTCAAATGACTTCATGATGTTGAGAATAAATTCACTAGAATTTCAGACATTAAAAAGATTTTGAAATGAAAAGACTCTTGTTGCATTAACTTCCCTGGGTATTCAGAGAGAAAACCCTCACTTCATTACAGCAGAAGCCTATATGAACATTGTAGATAACACTGTGTCAATGTCTCAAAGCTTATACAAAAATAATCTCTTATGGTCAGTTCTTTGAACTATTCTAAAGCTTAAACCAATGGTTGGTTGGTATCATTGCTCAGCAGTGAAGTTGCTAATTGATGGTGTGGTTGAACTATTACATTCAACATAAATCACAGAGACTCTTTGAGAACCAGAAAATCATCACTGCTCAGTTGTTTTTATTCTTCCCTAAAATCTGACTACAGACTAAACATGTATAACTCTCTCTATATAGTATTATGCTTTTTCCAAGATCAAACTTTCATAAGTCAGGGATTTTTAGAAATCATAAAGTTCATCTTCCTCGCAGATTAAGCAATTTGTTCAAAATTACAAGATGAGTTAGTTGTTGATGTCTAGTTATCGGGTACGAGAGTCTTCAACACAGCGTTGACATATACATCCCATCATTTTAGGAAGTGGGCTTGAACCCCCACTCACATATCAAGCTAGAAAGATGTATATTTAAAACATTTGTTTTAACCTACAGCAGAGTTACATTTTGGCATGTGTCACTGACTTTCATCAAAGATTCTCTAAATAAAGATGAGTCATTCTCTACTGTACATTGCTGTAGGGGTGTTGTCACAGACACTGTGTTCCACATGTCTTGGTGTTCCCAACAGGAAGCCCCAGGTAGGCAAATTCCTTGACATGACAGGTGCGCGTGAAAAATTTTGCTTCCTCTGACCATTTGGTAAATTTTTTTCTCACAGAAAGAAATATGTAAAGAATTGTTTTCCTTTACTTCTTTGACTTAATATTCATCAGGGAATTATCTTTCTCATCAGAGAAATATGTTTTTACATTGAGGTACTTTAAATAGCAAATATTTGTGATAACTTAAGATGAGGTGAATGCCAGTTTTATTTTTAAATGGACATTACTGTAATCAACCTCTACTTAAAACATCATTTGATTTTAGTTTTATCTTTTTTTGAATGCTATCAAAAACAGATTCAGATAGCAAAAAAATGTATATTTTAAAAGAAATAAACATTCTCTTTTTTACAATGTGGACATGAGAGTTGTTTTTTTCACAGTGAGCTTGTGCAAAAAGCATTTTACTTCTTTTTTCCAAATATTCTTTTCTGCTCTGTGTTGTGCAGTTTTCAAACAAAATATCTGAAGTGATTTAGAGCTACTATGTGCAAAGCACTGTGCTAAGTTCATATGTTGCACCACTACATTTAGTCCTCACAATCAGCCTGTGAAGTCGCTGCTATCCTATGCAAAAATAAACCTCCATTATGTAAGTAGAGAAAGGATACAAATACAGGTGGTTCTGACTGCAGGGCCCAGTGTTCATCCTCTGTAATATCTCTCCAGAAAGCCATAATAACTTATTACGAGGCTTTTATTTCCTACTCTTATTTCTTAATTGTATTGAAAATGTAAGAAAATTCAACTGAGAACTAAGAAACTTGATGTTTAGTTTCAGTTCCTAACTAGATGTGTGATCTTAGGCAATTCACATAGCCACTCCGGACCTCGGTTTTCCAAAGAGTTTGAATGGGTGATCTCTGATGAGCAATGCTTCTGTGACTGAACTAAAACCTCTTCTTCCTAACAAGCTGGCAGTTTAAGAATGAGACCAGGACTCCTTAAGTAGCATGAAATAATCTCTCCCTCAGGTATCCAGACGATTGTCAAGGAGAAATCTGAAAGAAGTTGGGGATGCCAGTGGGAGCTCATGAGAGTTACTAACAGTACACAAGGGTTATGTCTGCAAAAGACGGCTGGATGGGTCAAAATCAAGACTAGGTTGATCTAGTCTAACCAAGCAAGGACATGGTGGACTGACCTGAATGGGACCTCCCTCGCCGCTTTCTGTCCCTTCCCTTTGCTCCTCTTTTGTTTGGAGCTAACAAAAATGGAAAATCCAAATGGCATTTGCTATGCTACCTCTGTTTAGAAATACCATAGAAATGCCACATACAACTCTACCAGTTCATCTCTCTTTGTAGTACCATCCCCAAAACTTGCCTTGTAAGGACAGAAGAGGCCAATTAAAGAAGAAAATCTCTTTAGAAATAGCTAGAATTTGGCTCTCCATACTTGTTAGGAACTTATAGCAAACATACTACGAGAGAACTTGAAAGTGAGATACACAGGCATGTTTGCCTCAGAGCCACTCAAGGCTTACCTCCTCAGGCCCCATGTTTGCCCACAAAGCTACCAATGGCAGTGCCACAGTATGACTTAGCAGGACAAGCTGCCCAACGACCCAGGATATCTGGGATATTTAGGTCAGCCCCTGAGTTGGGAAAATAGTCACGATGGTTAGGAACTTTCTCTGCATCCTAAACTGCCCTAGGAAAGAACTCTTTCTTTATTAAATTGACTAACTAAAAAAATGAGAAAAAAGAATAGTGCCTACTTCATAATGTTGTTGCTAGCATTAGATGAAATAATATATTTAAAGAACTTAGAAGAATGCCTGGTATGTGGCATGTTTATAATCCCCTCACTTCGGGAAACCAAGGCAGGAGATCACCTGAGGTCAGGTCAGGAGTTCAAGACCAGCCTGGCCAACATGGTGAAACCCTCTCTCTACTAAAAATACAAAAATTAGCTGGGTGTGGTGGTGGGTGCCTGTAATCCCAGCTACTCGGGAGACTGAGGCAGGAGAATCTCTTGAACCCTGCGCTGCCAAGGCTGTAGTGAGCGGAGGTCGCACCATTCATTGCACTCCAGCCTGGTGACAGAGCAAGACTCCATCTTAAAAAAAGAAAAAAAAACAATTCTGAGATTTCTGAAATAAAAACAATATTAATAAATTTTGTTGTATACATGCCGCATACCAGGCATTCTTCTAAGTTCTTTAAATATATTATTTCATCTAATGCTAGCAACAACATTATGAAGTAGGCACTATTCTTTTTTCTCTTTTTAAAAATGATCAAATTGAGACTTAGCTAAGTAAGGTTACATGGTAAATACTATCTGATGTAAAAAACATGAACTATTTATTTTAGGTGGCTTAAAATATGGTAAATCTGATTATTATATATTCTCCAAGTCAGCTACTTAGCAAATTAATATTAATAAACAATTTCAAGTTATAGAATTATGCAGAGTAAGTGTTGGGTGGCAATTCTCCATGGGTCTCTGTGTTTCTTTTTGCATATCTTGGGAGCAGAAGTACTGATTGCTTTTGTTCCACATTACCTTTTCAATAATATTGAGCGACCTTGGAAGATAAAGCCTCTGGAACAAAGAGCAGGCATGACTACCACCCATTATAAAAGATTTTAGGTCCCTAAATTCAGGGATCCTCTCCTCTCCTGTAATAAAATCCAAAGCATGGGCTGGTGGTCTCTGGCCCTCTTTGCATTATCCTGTGGGAAATAGTGGTCAGGCAGCCAGTAGAAAAAATAATGATACTATGCCTACTGCATTGTTCTGAGTAATAAAGTCCTTTATCTGATCCAGGAGTATCATGCCTTCTTCTAGCATCCATGAAACCATGACAGACTAATTTATTAGATTGCAAGTGCACTAAAATCTCAACTCTTCCAATAGTTTTTGACATTAAGCTTCAATTTATAAACTATTTTACTGGTTTACCTACTTTATTGGCTCAGGTAGATACTATTTAGACTATCACCAATAGGTAATAGACTCAACTTTATCTTTTGCTTTATCAAAAACATCATACTTCCCAAACTAAAATTCCATCAGGTCATATTTTTTTGTTTCTGAAATCGTTTTAACCATTTAATTGCTATACCAATTATGGGCAAAACACGCTTTTCAAAAAAGTTTTAAAAATTAGTATGGCCCCCAAACACAGGAATTTATACTCTGTCGGATTCTGATTCTCAAAATATTATTCTAGTAACATGCAACTATTATTGGGAGAAAGCTTAAATATTAGGGAACATTGTTGGCTTGTTCAATATGATCAGGTTACAGGAAGAAGTTAAAATGTATTTAAAAGAAGCACTGAATATAGCTAATAAAAAAATGACAGAGCAGATACATTGTGTATGTTTTTACAACTTACATTTACTGTCCAAAAATTGAAGGTTTACATAGATATTATTTAAATGGTGGTTTTTTAAGATTTTATACGTTTTCCCCACCCATAAAATGTTCTCTCTCAGGTATACAGTTTAAGAATTACTCACTTAAAATAAACAAATGAATATTCATTCTTCTTAAGCATAAGCCTTAAATTAATTTATAATAACAGACTTTTTTTCTAAGATTACAAAGTGCCTTCTAATGGCATAACTTCTCCTCTCATTTCTTTTTTGTTACTTCTAGGTATCCAGAGCTTATCTAGATTTAAACTTTATATTAAATAACACTAATCAGAGTTTCACTTTAAGCACTCTTTCTTTTCTCATGGCCATCTGGTGGATGATGTAGGAAATGTGTTTGCACAGCAACAAATCTTGCTATCTTTCTACAATTTAGGCTTTAGTTCAAACATAAGTTGAAAGTTGCTAGGATAATTCCAAATATTTTTGTTTTGCTAGGCAGATCAACTTGGTTGCAGTTATTCACAACCCAGAAGAACTTGGTGGTGTTACTCTATTACTGAGAAAATTGACTTTGTTTCAACTGAAAACTTGTAATGAATAAAAGATAGATGCTAATCCATAATTCTGCTATTTTTATGTTGTCAAAGGCCTTCTT